AGGGTTGGCAACAACAACAGATTAATGATAACTATAATACCATTTGTATTTTGCTTTGTTTTGTTAAGTGCTTTACAATATTATCTCATTTGAGCCTCACAACAACCCTGTGAGATAGGTGTTATTATTATCACCTCCATTTTACAGATGAGAAGACTGCGGCTGAGAGAATTTAAGTGATTTAAATATCTGAGATGGGATTCAAACTCTGTTGCTGACTCCTGGTCTAGCACTCTGCTTGTTATGTAAAATCAGTGCATGACAGGTGAGTGCTTTGCTGACCTCAATGATAATAGCAGTAACCCAGGTTCCTGAGGCATTTTTGTAGTTTTATAAAGCATTTCCTTCACACACACACACACACACACACACACACACACACACACACACACACACACACACACACACACACACCTGGTGGTGCAGGTGGTTATATTTGTTACCTCTATTTTACAGATGAGAAAACAGAGGTCCAGGGCAATTCAATGACTCACTCAGGGTCACACAAGTCTGAGGGGGTCTTCTTGCCTGCATGCATAGCCCTTTGTCCACTAGTTCTTGCTGGCTGTCTTGGGCCACAAAGCAGCCCCTACTTCGAAGGAATGTGCATTCTATTCAGGAGCACAACGTGTATATTTACTAAATGTCTAACGAATTCAAGGTAACATGCTAGTTGCTGGTGATAGAAGACAAAATGAGGCTGTGGACTTGGAGGAAAGGACCAGAATCCTGAGCTGGGTTTGTGAATGCAGCTCTTAGGCTTAGGCTTAATTGGCCTTCAGTCACCAGTTCCTTAGCAAGGCCTTGCTTCCAGGTGTCCATAATAAAGAAAGGTTTAAAGGAGAGAGTCTGGAAAGACCAAATCCAAGCAAATACTACTCTACAGCAAGCTGTCCACGTCCTCTGGTTTGTGCGGTGTGCTGAGTGGGTGGTAAAATTCCCTTTGGAAGCAGGAGCCACGCATTCCAGGAAAACATCATGGCCAAATTCAGTCTGGATTCCCTTTCACTAGAAAAGGGCATTGGCCTGACACGGAGGACGGGATGACTCTGCCATCCTTCCCTCTGGGCATCTCCAGCTGCAACCAAAGTCCCAGGAAGAGTGATCCCTGGGCAACCGGAAGGTCTGCCCTTTGTTCTGACGCGATTACTGTTTGGGGGTTTTGTTTTCTTTTGTTTCCTCAGTTGTTTTTAACCAAGGTTTGTTCCGTAATTAGAGGAGAGTTGATAATAAAAGCAAAAGATCCTGTGAGGATTTAACAGTGATATTTTTCACTTTGCAAAATGTAAATCAAATCAAATGCAGTTGGGCAGTTTTGAAAAAAAAAAGACCAATAAAGTGGGAGAAGGTTGGCAGAGGAGACTCTAGGGAGAAATTGTTCCCATGCTCAGATTTTTTTTTTGTTTGCCTGGTTTTATTCAGGAGCAAAGCTTAGCTGCAGGAGAAGCCCCTGAGAAAAGAGGTTTCGATTCGAAGTTCAGCCAGAAGCCCAACTGGAGCAGGCCTGGGAGGCATTGCTTTAATGCATTTCATCCTCAACAGGTGCTCAGAACATCTGTAACTAGGCGATCCCTGATAAAAACGCCTCATACCTTAATCCAGACTATATTACATTCATAAACACTTTGCTCTCCTTCCTTTCCTCCACCCTCCTGAGATAGGGAAATAAATAATATGCTATTAAACTAGCATTTCTGCTTTCTGCCTAAGAACATTAAAAGTGAAAGAAAAGCTTCCGCCATTATGACATCCTCATGGGAACGAAAGCGGTAACCATGAAGATATATTCTGGGTGCTCCAGAGTAACAAAGCCACGTGAAACCATTCCTACCTCCCAGAATCTATTAAGAAACCTGACGATTACTTACATGTTGAGAGGGCTGAAAATAATCAGCAATCTTAATTTCCTTTAAAAAGACTTCACCATAACAGTCCCAGACTCTCCCTCTCCCACCATTACTCAGCAACCTCTCCTCTTTTGAGGTTCATGCAAAATTTATCAAGTTTATCATCCAATTCTGATTCTTAGTATCTGACACTCATCCTGGGATATTCTTCCTCTTTTTATTCAATGAATTCAATACCTGACTCACAGTCTCCCTCTCCACCCCAACTCCTGCCCTCAGTCTAGAGGTTTTCCACATCTGGGTTGATGTGGCTTCATGTACCCTAACTTCCTAGCTCTTCATTCTACCCAGTTCCCATGACTTACTCTTCCCCTCCACTTTTACAATGCATAGGGGAATGGTTATGCCTCTAATCTTGCTCTCAAGTATTCTACTTCCACGTTTAAGAAATCCAAATTTCCTTTAACCAATCCTCATCTTTTCTCTTTTCTTCTCTATGCCTCCTAAACCTAAACCTATAACTCAACCTCTCCATGACCTCTAGACCCTTCATCCCTCCAATTCTAGTTCAGGCCACTACCCCTCCATTTATTCTATCAACCTCCCTTCAAGTGTGGAGCCTTTGGTAAACCAGTTCAACTTTATACAATCCTCTCCTTTAAAACCCCTAGCTCCTTTTGTCCCGCTACTGATTATACCTTACCATGCTCCATAACTGTATTACTATCTCCTCCCAACCCCCATCTGCCTACTTTGCTTCTATTCATACGTTACTTAATGAAACTGAAGGAAATCAGGAGACCGTGCTCACTGGTTCTGCTACAGATTTATAGTAGCTGTTCTCAACAAGGCCTTCCATGCCACTGAGTCAAAGCAACCCTATTCCTCTTTCTTAATTGAGACCCTACCATGATTACATGGTAGCTATTCTAGAGCTTCTCTTTTCTCCTCTATCACACTGCACCGAGCTCTCCTCTTACCCTCTCAGATAAGCACCTTACTTCATACTTTACTTTTAAAAACAATGAGGCCGTTTATCAGAATTCCCTCATCTCTTCTGTTTCTTATGTCCCATTCCTCTGACATCACCCTTCCCCCACCCCACACACACTCTGCTTCCTCCACTCTGGTTTATGATGGAGTAGCCTCCTTGCCAAGACTAACCCCTCAACGTACCCTTAAATCCTATTTTTTCTCATCTTCTCTAGCAGATTGCTCCCACTATCATCCATCCTTCTTCCTTCCTTCCTTCCTTCCTTCCTTCCTTCCTTCCTTCCTTCCTTCCTTCCTTCCTTCCTTTCTTTCTTTCTTTCTTTCTTTCTTATTTTTTTCCAATTATGTGTAAAAAGATTTTTTAACATTAACTTTAAAAAAATTTGAATTCCAATTTCTCTCCTTCCCTTCCCCTACTCCCCCCTCTTTGAGACTGTCAGCAATTTTATATAGGTTATACCATGGGTGGAGAACCTGCAGCTTGAGGCAACATGTAACCTTGAGGCTGCAGGTTCCCCACCCCTCTGGGTTATATATATGCAATCATGCATATTTCCATGTTAGTCATGTTGTGAAAGAAGACAGAGACCAAAAAAAAAATCCCCACAAAAAATAAAGTGAAAAATTGGTGCCTTCACTTCTTCACCATTTATTCTTCTAAATCCTCTGCACTCTGGCTTCTGGCTTCAGCATTCAACTAAAATTTCTCTCTCCAAAGTTCCCCTGAAACTCTTAATTGACAAATCTAATGACTTTTTTCTTAAGCCTCATTCTTTTTTTTTTGGTGAGACAATTGGAGTTAAGTGACTTGCCCAGGGTCACACAGCTAGTGAGTGTTATGTGTCTGCGGCTGGATTTGAACTCAGGTCCTCCTGACTCCAGGGCTGGTGCTGTATCAACTGTGCCACCTAGCTGCCCCAAGCCTCATCCTTCTTGACCCCTCTGTAGCATCTGACATTGTATTTGTAGCTTCTGACAGTGTTGCCCTTCTAGGTCACTAGGTGTGCAGCGGATAGTGCACTGGACCTGGAGTAAGGAAGACCTGAGTTCTTCTAGTCTTGAGACTCTGGATAAGTCACTTAATCTCTGTCTACCTTTAGTTTATCCATTTATAGAGGGTGGTGGGGCAGGGTGGAGGAGATGAGCAATAAAAGCCCTTACTTCCCAAGGTTGTTACAAAGATAAAATGAAATAATATTTGAAAAGTGCCATATAAGGGTTAATTGTTATTGGTATTGTCCCCTTCTCCTCCTTGATACCCTCTCCTCTCTGGGTTTTTGAGACTTATCCCTTGGGTCTTCATCTAACCATCTGACTGCTCCACCTTGGTTTCCTTTGCTAGATCTTTATCCACATCACATCTATTGTGGGTGTCACCCAAGGCTCTGTCCTAATCCCTTTTCTCTTTTCTCTCTGTGCTGTTACTCAGTAACTTCATCAGTGACTTTGGGTTCAGATATCTTCTCTATACAGAAGATTCTCAGACCTATTCTTCTAGTATTCTGCATTACAGGCATCTTTTCTTTAATTTTCTTACATATGAAAAAGACAGATATTTGGTCATTTATTTTCTGCCCAGATAACTAGACTTGGGATTATATGACTTGGTCTGCTCAGTATGTTGTAGTTTGAATTTGAAGTCAGAGGACTTAGATTCAAATTGAGTTCTGCACTTAGTACCTGCATGATCTTGGACAAGTCACTTAACCACTTTGGGCCTGACTTTCTTTAACTGTAAAATGAGGGAGTTAGACAGGATTATCACTAAGGTCTTTTCATTGTTAAATCTATGTCCATTGTCCAGTGCTTTGTTATAGAGCCACACTGTTCCATTAAATGTTAAGCAAATGGAGATTATTGAATTTCCTGTTTCCCACTTAACCATAGCTTGGAGACCTTTGCTTCCATTTCTTTACCTCACAGCCTATTTATAGAACTCTGACTCCTGGGATAATTGATTGACGTGGTGCTTACCCCGTCATAAGTTGGCTCAGTGAAAAAATGCACAAAATGAGCAAGAGGTCCTCCGTGTCCCCCAAAAGCCATTTCTACTTCCCACTAATCCCAAACTGCTTTAGGCTGTTGGCTGAGTCTTCCCCCCTTCCATTAGGCCCTGCTCTTTTGTTTCAGTTTACAGAAGAATTTGGAGAACACATAAGAAAGATTTCTCTGATTGTTATTCAGTTGAATCCAAAAGCATATTGATTGAATAGATGTTGGAACATCTCAAGAAATTGCTAAAAACAAAATGACCACTGTTTCCAAAAGAATTGACCTAACAATTTTATCTTGCAAAATAAAATTAGCCATATTTTTCCAACTAAATCAACATGGATTTTCTTCTTCCTTTTTTTTTTAAATCAAGGGCAACTTATCCCTGAAACAGATCATGCAAAGAATAACACAGTAAAGAAATGTTTAACAGCAAACAAGTTAGGATGTCACTGAATGTGGAAAAAAAGAAAAAACCCAACAACATAGGACCAAGCTCCCCACATTTTTTTTCTTAAAAGCTACTGGCATTTACTAAACAGTTTTATGCTCACCAGGTTATCATACTACTTAGAAATCCAATTGTGTGGATCCAACAAGATCATAAGCTTTATGAGAATAGGGAATGCATTTCCTATTTAATTCATAGGTAGTCCTGCCCTCCTTCCCACCCGCCATTATGCCTTGAGTCCAATAAATGCATCTGGTTGTCTGTCCGATGCTGTGGCTAATATGGGGAAGTTTCTCCTGGAAGCATTCTTTTCTCCCAGAAGTAGCCCAAGTCTAAAGACCCCTCTCTTCTCCCACCTGCTCTGTTTTTATCCAGAAGGTTGGGGCACATGTAGAATCAGGGAAAGAGAAATTGATGGAGTTGGAAGGAACAGGAGAGATTATCCAATCCAAACCCTGTCATTTTATAGATGAAGAAATTGTGGTTGGGGGATGGGAGGAAGTAGAGAAATGATGAGATGACAGAATCAGTTTTCAAATAGCTCTTGACAGGCTAGAGCGGTAGACCAAACTGAGTAAGATTAAATATAACAGGCATAAATGAAAAGTCTTAAAATTGGATTCAAAAAATAAACTCCACAGGCACAAGATGGGAGAGGAATGCTTAGTAGTTTTCCTGAAAAATAAAACAAAAACAAAAAGACTAGAGGTTTTACTGGGCTGCAAATTCAATATGACCCAATACTGTAATATGAGTCAATAGTCAATGTGGTTCAATATTGTTATATGACAGCTAAAAATAATGTGATCTCAAACTTCATTGACAGGGGCATAACTTACCAGAGCTAAGATGTGATAATCTTTCCATATTATTCCCTTGTGAGACCACTTCAGGAATTCAGTGTTTAATTCTGGGCACTGCAATCTAGAAAGAATGTTTAGAGGCCAAAGAATATCCAACAGAAGCCATCAGAATTGTGAAAGACCTCCAGTCCATGCCTTATGAACCTCAGCTGAAGTGAAAGGGGATGTTTAAATTGGAAAAAAGAAGGGGTGGGAGGGGGAGCCATAATAACTGTCCTTAAGAATTCAAAGGGCTTCATGTGGAAGATGGACTAGATTTGTTCTGAGTGGTCCCAGAGAAGAGGACCAGAAACATGGAAATTGCAGAGATGACAATTTAGTTCTTAATGGGAGACACAGCTTGTAAATGTAACCCAGGTTCCAAGCCAAGCCTGGAGTATTTTGCAGAGAAGATTGATGTGATGCTTTGTGACTGATTGAGAAAGGTGAGATGTTGTTCATTCCATCTTTGAGAGAGATACATGGGGTTCCAGATCTTCTTTGAGACTGACTCTGGGAAGAAGAAAGAGAAAAAAAAACTCTCTTGAAGACATGCAGGAAGAGGAAGTGCTTCAATGTCATAGCTTTACTCCCTAGAGACTTCTGGGAAGTTCCTGCCATCAAGGCTCTTACATTCTATTACAGTGGCAAGGTTCTCGACTCAAACGAAGGATGCAGAGAGTCTCAAATAATGTGCTCCCCTCCCCCAATGATCGGATCAAATAAAAAGCAGGGGAAGGTACCAATGGTGTCTTTGTCTTAGAGTAGAGATGGCTAGGGGGAAAGGACAGCTCCAAATCCATACTTTTCTCCTTAGGCACAGTACCAGAAAGGATGACCTCAGTACAGGGGTGGGGATGGGGGGATGTGTTCTCTTCTATGGACAGACTCAGAAACCATTGTTATCTTCACTTTCTATTTGGGTGTCTCAGGGAGCACAGGGTACCTAGAAGGCACCGCAACGGTAACCCAAAGGTTGGAAAATCATTTTTCTTGTTTGGTCCTAAAATGTTAAAAATTGTTTTAACGTGTAATTGGGGGGAAATAAAATATTATTTAAAAAATGAATAGATTTTTTTAAAAAAGCTATTTTTCAAAATTGTGATAGAGGCAATATTATAGAGAACATTGAGCTCATTTTTCATTTTGCAGATGAGGAAATTGAGGTCCAGAGAGCCTGTCACTAGCCCAAAGTTATACAGGTAGGAAGAAGAAAAACCAAAATTTGAAAGCAGGTTCTCTTTCCAAACCCAGTGGTCTTTCCATTATACCATACTACCTCTTTATAATCATTCTTTGACCTCAATTTTACCAGCTTTGTTTTTTAAAGGTATTATCTGATAGTTCCCTTTTATTCCTTAAATTGTTTCACTGAGATGAAACTGAATGAGTATTTCAAGAGTGTAGCAGAAAGAGCATGAGGTACAAATTCAATGGAGTTCAATTTCTGGTTCATCAACCTATTAGCTGTGTGACTTTGAACAATGCACTTAACCTTTTGGAGTCTTGGTATTCTCTGTAAAATGAAAATGATAGACTAGCCAAAGTCCCTTTCGGCTTTGGCACAAAGCCTCAATGAAACCCTGTTAAGGTATGGAAAGGTATAAAGATAGGGATTAGACCTATGAGTTCATTGATTAGCTGGGCAGCTAGGTGCTGCAGTGGATAAAGCACTGGGTTTAGAATCAGGAAGTCTCATCTTCCTGAGTTCAAATCCAGCCTCAGACACTTACTAGCTGCATGACCCTGGGCAAGTCACTTAACCCTGTTTGCCTCAGTTTCCTCATCTGTAAAATGAGTTAGAGAAGGAAATGGCAAATCACTCTAGTATCTCTGCCAAGAAAACTCCAAATAGGGTCGTAGAGAGTCAGAGACAACTGAAAAATAGCTGAACACCAACTTCACTGGTAAAAGAGGAATTTCCTCCACCAAAGCAGGTCCACAAGCTCTCTGAAATGTATAGTCTTACAGAGTTACCTAGAACAGAGGTATTAAACCCATGGTCCCAGGTTGCAAGCAGCTCTACAACTCTTGAACCAGACTAAAATATAATTGGGAAATATTTAACAAAATAAATAAAAATGCAATACAAAACAGATAATGTTTATTTGTGACTTTCTAACTCAATATGCAGCTGCAGGGATCATTTCTACTTGAGTCTGTCACACTTGGCCATAGCTAGTTCTATTCAGAGGTAAGAAGATGAAAAAAAGTAAAAAAAAATGTTGAAGTTGTTGGACTAGAAGATAGAGGAAAAATTAGATTATAAGAGTTTGAATCATAGTTCTATTTCTAAACTTTCTATGTTGCTTAAACTGTTGGATGCTCAGCCCTTTCATCTACAAAATGGAGGAGTTGGACAAGATGACCCCAAGGTATGTCCCAGCTCTGAATCTGTAACTTTGATCTCTGGGAACTCTTGTAGTCCTAAAGTTCAATGCCTGCATACAATCAGGAAACAGGAGTCTCATTAAATAGTGCAATTTCAGGCCTGGCACATTGGTACTGGCAGGCTTGTTCATTTCTTGTTGAGCACACATTTTGGCCTGAAACAAAATTATTGTGAATTTGGTGGTTTATTGTAGTTTTGGTGTTCAGCCCTTGCTTTTTGTCTTATCTGGTCCTGTGATAGTTCCTTCACCAAGCTGCCAATACAAATGAGATACTTAGTTGCCCAGGGCCTCTCTTTCTCTGGGTTTTCTGCCTTCTCTAATCCTTTGCATGGAGTGATCAAGGACCTTTGATATTTGGAAAACAAATCCTCCGGCCTATCTTGGGGTTACTTTGTTACTGTTGTTCAGTCATTTTAGTTGTATCCAACTCTTCAAGAGCCCATTTGCAATTTTCTTGGCTAAGATACTAGAATAGTTTGCCATTTCCTTCTCTAGCTCATCTTACAGTTGAGGAAACTGAGGCAAACAGGGTTAAATGACTTGCCCAGGGTCACATAACTAGTAGGTCTTGGAGTCCAGATTTGAACTCATGTCTTCCTGACTCCAAGCCTGACGCACTACCCACTGCACTACCTAGCAACAACAATAACTAAGGAATCTATCAGTGGAAACGTCAAGCTTCTTAGGCAGCTGGATTGGCGAAAGTATTTTAGGGTCCTCCTAGGCTTCTAATGACTAGTAAATCATATGATAAGGGCTTCTACCCTCTCCCTGCACACAAGGGCCAGCCTGATGGAGCATCTCTCTAAGAAGCAGAGGTAGCCCTGATGAAAGAACTGAAATCCTTAGTCTAGTTGGAGAGAATCCCTTCTCTGACTGCTGGTGGTTTTTCAATGTGGTCCTGTTCTGAGAATTCACCGCCATTGCCTTGCTAATTCCGCATGGTCTGGTCCTGCATTTACTTTAAGTAATTGCCATTAACTAAAGCTGTAAGCTTTGAAATGGGGACAGTGACATCTACACATGTGACAGAGAGATTGTAAGGTTTAATTAATTATGGTTTGGAAAGTGGCTATGGAAGGACACTGTAACAGCATGGGGCCCTACTTTTATTTAGAATGCAATTTGAGAACTTTCTCCATAATGGAAAAAAATTACAAATACCCAGTTAATTTTCAAAGGGTATTTGAGAGTAAAATTCAGACGTCAATAATGGAGAGCAGAGAATTGCAGGCAGCCTTTACCATAATAACCAAGAGCGTGAAAGTAGAATGAGAATATATGAGCTCTCGGTGGAAGGTTATCTGAGGATGCTAAATGGTCCTGGTGCTTATAGACTCCTAGCTGGCATAAGCAGAAAACTAGACATTAATGCCCCACCATTCCTTCATCTTTGGTGTTTAGCACTAAAATTCTGAGACACGGGGAGAAATCAAGTGGGGAAGATGTCAAAGACAATAAATATTATTCCAGTTAATGGGCTTCATGAATACATAGATTTCTAAGTTAAGACAATTAACTAATTTCAAATCACTGCTTGCTAATTTACTAATTCATTAACTTGAAGCTGCGTCCATCCTGTACAATGCCATCCTCCTGACAATAGCACTGAGCTTTGGCAAGGATTTATTTTCTGCAACACCAGGGACATAAAGCACGGGATTTTTGAAGAATAATAAAAAATGGATTAAAGAGAATAGGAATAATTTATCATGTGCAGATGTGCAGACAGAAGAAGATGGTGCCTTTGTAGCACAGTTTACAAAAGGAGAGTTACAGTGGAGGCTTCTCTCCCAATCAATGATTTGTGAACATGTAGCCCTCAATGCCTGATGAGCCATCAGCAGTATGGGCTGTCGTGACATTGCAAGATCAAAGTGGCAACAAGGAAATATTCTTGTTCTGACTATAACAAACGTGAACCCTGATGACTAGGGCAGGCAAGCGAGTGTCTAGTTGATCCCTTGTGGGAAACCAAAGTCTGTGTTTCTAGCATGGTGTCTTTCAAATGATTCTAGGCCACCCTAATCAAGGCTAATTATTATTCCTACAGAAAGTTCAGGTCAAATGGGAAGCATGGGGAAGTCTAGCAGGGCACAGGTTTAAGAGAGGAAATGTCCACTGAGGCTTCACTCTGGGCTACTAGATCCTGCTGATGACAAAGTGGGGTATATGATAGGTACTATGGGAGGGGAGGTCAGAAAAATCAAATGCATTCATTTATTCATTGACAAACATGGAGGAAATTGTGAATCTATGTTGACCTAGTCCACTGCAAAACTAGGCTTTATAAAAGAAGGTGAGGGTTTGGGGGATCCCAAAGTGGGTCAGAGATTTCATTTTGTTTTTTTATCAGAGCTGTAACTATGCCTATTATTGCATGACTGTGATTCTTTAAAGGTGCTGAAGAGAATGAGGAAATAGACCATGCCCTCAAAAAGCTTACCTACTCCTAGGGGAGAAGTAACTTGTAGACTGACAGATCAGTTCAATACCTACCTGTCTAACTCTATCTATCCATCCAGTATATATATGTATATGTATATGTATACATATGTGTATACGTATGTGTATACGTATGTGTATACGTATGTGTATGAGTATGTGTATATGCATGTGCATGTGTATGTGTATGTGTATGTGTATGTGCATGTGCATGTGTATATATGTGTATATATGTGTGTGTATATATGTATATATGTATATGTATATATCTGTATATGTGTGTATAAGTATATTACGCATACGCACATACATATATAAAAATTCATACCTATATACATGTATGTATATAGATATGATTTAAACACAATGTAATTTTGTTCGGGAAGTGGGAACAGATGACACTAGCCATGGGAGGGATCCAGAGAGGAATCTTATAGGAAATGCCATTTGAGCTGAGCCAAGGAAGCTAGAAATGCAGAAATGAGGCAAAGAATGTGTTCTGAGTTCTATCTTCTGACTTCATGCAAAGTCATCAATAAGTCAGATTATTAGAGACCTAGGTTCTAATTTTGGTTCTGATGGTAACTTTCCATAGACCACAGATAGCTCACTTAATGTATATTATCCATAGCTTGTTTTAGAAGGCAGTATTATATGCCATATATTATTTTTAAAGGTATTTATGCAAAATGCTTAATATATACAAAATTTTGGTACTTACAAGGGGTGACCTTCAGCCATCTGGAAAACTGACTTATGGGAAAAAACATTTCATTCTGGATCTGCCACTTATTTATTACCTATGTGACTTTGGACAACTCACTTAAATTTTTTTGGGCCTCAGTTTCCTCATGGAAGGTAATAATGGTAAAGTGAAGGGATTGGACTATGTGAGCTCGAAGGTCCTTTCTGTCTATACCTATAACTCCTAGTGCTGCTAGATAAATTAGGCGCGCACGTGTGTGTGTGTGTGTGTGTGTGTGTGTGTGTGTGTGTGTGTGTGTGTATCCCAAAGAATCAGAATAGGCACAGGGAAGAAATGAATGCTTGATGATACTGCCATGGAAAAATCCATCAACCCAATTACATTTTTCCTTGCTATTTCATGGAACTTGCCAATTACATTTTGGAATTCCTGAAGGTTGTAGGGTATGAGCCTGTGTCCCCATAAAGCAGTTGGGTGACTTATGCAGCTAGAAAGCTCCAGAGGTTGTTTCATTTCCTCAGTGGCTAAAATAAGATTTCTTATGGCCTTCATAAATAACAGGAATGATTAAACAGAGTAGATTACTATTAGGGATATATGATGTTTCATACATTTGGGACATATATTCTTTCTTGTTTATTATGTGTGCTGCTCAGGCTATATTTTTTTAACCTAAGCACATTTTTCTGATTTGCAGTCGATGATTACTTAATAAGCAATGTTATTTGATAGACTCATAGAATTTTAGAGCAACATGAGACCTTGGAGTTTCATCTCATCAAACACTCTCATTTTATAGAGGAGGAAAGAGAAATTTAGAGGTTAAGTGGCTTGCCCCAAGGTCAGTCAGGAAAAGTAAGGACCAGAATAGAAGTCATGTAACTGAATACAGTGTTCTTTCCTCTAGATCACACCAGTGGTGTCAAACTCAAATAATGGGGGTCATTAATCCATACACAAGGGTCCCTCTGGGCTACATATTGACTTACTTTTAAAATGTACTATTACCCACATTTTGTTGTATTTTTTTTATTTTGTCAACTATTTCCCAATTACATTTTAATTGGTTCAGGCCTCATTTGGGAGTGTTATGGGCTGTGTGTTCAACACCTCTGCTTTAAATCATATTGTTTCTTTGGTGTGAAATTCTTGGGCACAGAACTAGAGAGATGGCAGAGAAGAAGGAGGGACTTGGGACTTAGCAACAAGGACACACAGAAGCTGGAGGATAAAAAGATGGGGAACGGAGAGTTAATCTGCCATTGGGTCAAGAGCATCTAATCTGAGGCTCTCCTTTCTGACAGGTATAAGAAAGGCCAATCCTCACACATGGTGCTCATCTCCTCTCTCTGAACCTAACATTGGCTATCCCCCATACCTAGAATGTTCTCCCTTCTCCCCTCCTTCTCTTGGAATCCCTGGCTTCCTTCAAGATTTAGTTCAAATTCTACCTTCTGCAGAACTTTCTCCAACCCTCCAGCCTGCAGGGTCTTCTCCTTTAAGGTAATCTTCTATGTTCTATATATGTATCTTATATGTACTCATACTAAAGGAGGAAACAACATATATGCACAAACAAGAGTATGAACATGCTCTTGCTTCCTCCAACATTAAAATGTAAGTTACTTAAGGGCAGGGACTATTTTTTTTTTAAAAAATTTCTTTGTATCCTCAATGCTTAGCATAGTGCCTGACACAGTGCTAAATGCTTCTTGACTGAATGATTGATTCAGCTGAAGTCAGAGGGGCTGGGTTCGAGAACTACCTCAGATATCTTACTGCCTTTGTGACCTGGGGATAGGGCATAGTCACAACCTCGGGGGCTTCGATTTCCTCATCTATGAAATGAGGAGGTTGAGCCACATGGCTTCTGATGCACCTTCCAGCTTTGTACCTAGGACCTCATATCCACTCACTAAATGGCGGCCAATTGAGTGAAAACTCGACTATGTAGTGACATAACACAGTCCCTGAGGCCTGATCACAGAATGCCAGAACTGGAAGGGATTTACAGGTCAAGTGCTCCAACATTATTTTATACATGAGTTTGCTAAAGGAGGACCAGAAAGGTCAGAGGACAGAACCAGAAACTGAACCGACTTCCCCATTGTTCTTTGTAGTACATGACATCCTTGAAATAACAATAGTTTGTTATTGTTGACATGTTGTTTCCTTTTACTCTCCCAATCATCCTGTGATAAAGGTGATATTATTATTCCCATTTCACAAATGAGAAAACTAGAGCTTGAGAGCAGTTCAGTGTCGTTCAGGATCTCAAAGCTAGTTAAGTGTCTGAGGTAGGATTTGAACTCAAGTCTTCCTGACTCCAAGTCCCAGCTTCTATCCACCATTTCTATCCACCATGCAACCTAGCCACCCGAAATAGACCGGAAGCTCCTTGAGGGCAAGGATAGTCTTTTGTCTCTTTTTGCATTCTCAGCACTTAGCACAGTGCCTAATAAGGCAAAGTCACTTAATACATGTCTATTGAATGGAATACTGTAAGTTTCATTCCAAGGAAAAACTATATTATCTCTAGATCTTGGGAGACATGAAGAGATTGAGAGCAGTAAGAAAACACTGGAGTGAGGGGCAAAAAAGGGTAGTTGGGAAGGAGACAGATGAGGATAAGAATCATATATTAAAGCCCCTGAAAGAGCCCCTGTCTCTGGGAGGGAAAATGTCAGAATTTTGTCCAAAGCAGTGTCCTACTGGATCCCTTCTGGGGCTAAATCCCACACATATAATGTGTGCAAAGCAGGGCTGTCCTTCCCTGCATTATATTAATTATGCTCTTAAGCCCCCTGTAAATTACAAAATCAGTTTTCAAATTAAGTTAACAAAGCCATTTCTGGATGGCTATGCTGCCTTTCAGTAGAAAATTAGCCCAGCTCATTGTTTGTAGATAACAGAAATTCTGTGGCCTGGTTTTCTGGGTGATGTGTGCAGGGCACTGGTGGGGGTGGTGCCTGCTACATTATTTTTCCTCTTAGTAAGTATGATCTGGTTTTCCTCTGAGCTGGGTATGCAGGAGACTGTCACACGTCCTGATGGTGTTTGAACCACCACTGGGGAACTGCAATTGCTTCCTTCCAGGCCTAGGTGCTGAGAGAGGCTGACATTATCGCTTAAGAGCTTGGGTTGAAAATAAAAGAGCTTTAAAAGGAGAAGGCTATTTTCTCAGAGACCTGGCTCTCTTAACACCTGCGGCCTCACAGTTGGGTGGCGGGGAACAGGCTCCTGGCAACTTGGGAAAGAAATATAGCTGGTCTTGCCTCCTGTCTCTGTACCCACCAGACTAGCTTTGTGTTCTTCGGACCCCACAGATCAGGAAAGGGGCAGTTTGGAATGCAGCACACGGGTGGCAGGTCTGTCCTTTACAGAAGTCACCAGTTTGTTCCTTAGGGTAAGCTTGCTATATCTCCTGGCCCAGGACTCATGGCTGACCCTCAGCAAAATAGTACTACTGAGACCAGCTTGTACGATCTTCTTCCTCCCTTAAGCACTTTTCCCCAGGTGCCCGCTGTTCTCATTTTGGCCTCTGGAAGTACCCCCTGATCCCCAGTACTACAGGGTTTCTGCCCTGCCCCCTGCCACAACCCAGCAAAAGTTAGACTAATTTTTCCCTAAAGAGTGACAAAGCTATGCCAAGATTAATGGACCCAGAGGCCAAAGATCAAGCTTCACCTCACTTGTAGGGGGTTTCCTGGAAGCCTCCAGCTGTCTTATGTGGATTCCTGGTCACCTAAGGGCATAAATAGGCCCACCCAGATGGGGCCAGGGCCCTAAAGTCCTGGTGGGTCCAGAGTCACCACACCCTGTCTTGCTGACTAGAAGAGGAGTAGGAGGGGCTGGATCTACCCAAGTTAAGAGTTAGAGGGTCCAGGTTAATTACCTTTTCTGTGATAGGATGAAATAAAAAACCCTCTTTTATGTTTCTTTTTGTTAACTGTTTTCAGTGGTGTCAAAACCAAACAGAAATGGTATATAAAGATTCCTGAGGGCTGCATGTTAACCTAGAAAATGCTGACTTAACATTATCTATATTCAACTATACATTTATTTTGTTAAATATTTCCCAATTACATTTTAATCTGTTTGGGCATACTAGGGAGTGTTGAGGCCTGTAGTGTAGCCAGCCAATGGGCTCCATGTTTGACACCCCTGTGTCAAATGACCGACATGTGCCTCATTTCCTCACAACGTCAAACCTGAACTAACAGAGTATTAACCTGAGTAAGGCCCATCCCTAATGTGTGCGTCCTGCCCCTCATGCTGAAACATTCCACCATCCTGCTTCCCTTTTCCAAACATATAAACCTATTCTTTTCCCTTCACTTATCTTTCAGCAAAACTTAGCTGCCCAGCATCTCCATTCCTGCCTTCCTTCATCTCATTCCTTCAAGTGTGACTAGTAATTGCTTCAAGTTCATCTTTATATACCTAGTGTAAAACACTACTATAAGCGCTTCTTAAATACATGAATGAGTTTGCATGAAGGTCTTAGTGACTGATAAAAGTTTAAATGTATTCTCCTTCCCAGGCCTTTTACTTTTAACTGGAGACTTTTGGAGATACAAGGGCTTAACCCCCCCAAAAAAAAAGATTTTCTTTTGAGTTATTCAAGACTCAGGTTGGCTTGAGGGGGAGACTTTTCAGAGAAAGAGAGTCCTTATGTCTTAATTACATCATTAATTAGTCTATGGAAAATATAACCTAAGCCTCAGTTCCACGCTGGTCATCACACAAAGGATCATCGCCACCATTTGACTTAATTTACTCAAATTACTCAGGGAGACAGAGAGGACAGATATCATCTTTAAGCCCTTTTTATAAATAAGGGAACAGAGAGTGTGTGATTGTGTCACTTACCTGGGATTGTATAGTTGTACAGTGAGTGACATTTCAAAAAAATCACATCTCTTAGTTTCTATTACGTTGTTTTTCACTTTTCTGTAGGCAGCTCGGAATCCCTCAGAGTCCAGTTCAGGAAAGAGTATGGAATCCAACTGAAACATAGTTATTTTCTTCTGTGACTGAGGGAACCTAGAACTCATTTCTCCCAGACTCCTAATGGTAGGGGAGGATTCTCATCTCCTCTTTTGTTCCCAGATGGGCTAGACTTATCTGAGGATACAAATTCAAGGAGCTGTGGTTGGCCCAATCCTCCACTAAAATTGCAGTGAACATTGTCCCATTTGGGGCTTAAAAAGAAAACCTGCATCTATTAAAAGCAGAGAAATTGTCTCTGTTCAATGTCTGCTGTTATCTGATGGACTGTCCTACACCTCAAATTGGATGTCTAGTTCCAGGAAACGGTGCATGACAACCAGACACCTAATGAGTACCATGGCATCATCATGGAAATGGGATGTGGAATTCCCAGAAGTGTCTCAGATCCTCGAGCTTGTTAAAAAATAGGTAAAGTAAGTTTCCATGAGAGTGGAGCAACAGTGAAACTATCATGGCCATATTAAGCACAGTCTGAAAGTATGTGTCAGAAGCAGGAGTTAAACGAAGGTCATTCTGACTTTGAGATTTACTCTCTATCATACCACATTGCCTTTCATTTTTGTTGTGGTTATTGTAATTTTGGATTCATCACAAAATCCAAAACGTTTTCTTTGGTATTCCTACTCCTAATCCCAATTACACATTTTTTTTTGCTTCTATTTTTTGTTTTATTTTTTAAATATTTTTATTTTTCCTCCAATTATAACACGTTATTTTTTAAAAAGATTTCTAGGGAAGGTAAATAAAATCATTTTAAAACCTCCATTGAATTTTAATTTATACATGGCTTTGATTTTACCCATTGAGGTTTAATTTATTGTTATTGTGTATGTATATGTACACATATATATCTATATATCCATATGTATCTATATCACCTACCAAAGTGATTTTCCTAAAGTGTTGGTCTACTCAATTCAACTCCAATGGCTCCCTATTATCTCCAGGATCTATTTGGCATTTCAAGCCCTTCACATCCTGGCCTCTCCCTACCTTACCACTTTTCTTCCACTTTACCCCTTCCCCAAACTGTGAACCAATGACACTGACCTCCTTTGCTGTTACTCATACACAACATTCCATCTCTGACTCTGAGCAAACGCTGGTTGTCTCCCATGGCTGGAAAATCTCCTACCTCACCTGTGACTCTTCGTTTTCTTCCTTTAAGACTAAGCTCACATCCCACCTTCTGTAGGAGATTTTTTTTCCCCCTGATCTCCCCTGCTACAATCCCTCTGAGATTATCTTCTATTTATACTGCATGTATCTTGTATGATATATGCAGTATATGTATATATATATATGTATACACACACACACACACACATATATATCTTGTATGACATAGTTGTTTATGTCCATTAAAACGTAATCTTTGTGAGAATAGGGGCTACCCTTCTTGCCTTTCATTGTATCCCTAAATCCTTGGCACAGTTCCTGGTAAATTTTTGTTGTTCAGTTGTTCAGCTGAGACTGACTCTTCCTGAATTATACCTTGCACACCAGGCCCTTCTCTGCTCCACCATCTCCCAAAGTCTGTCCAACCTCATGCTCATTGCTTCTGTGACACCACCCATCGATTTCATCCTCTGCCATCCCCTTTTCCTTTTGCCTTCAATCTTTCTCAATGTTAGGATCTTTTCCAATGAGTCCTGTCTTTTCATTATGTGGCCAAAGTAGTTAAGCGTCAGCTTCGTTATTTGACCTTCCAGTGAATAGCCTGAATCAATTTCTTTACATAGGAGATACTTAATAAATATTAGTTGACTGGCTTACTGTTGCTCCATTCTGATAGAAATTTTATGCATTTTTCTCACTGGATTAATCACTGATATGTGTGTATATGAACACACACATCTATGTACATGAATACATATATAGACACATACACACATGTAATATACATACATATATAATTAATATAGTGAGAAACTAGATGTAGTTTCCATGAGCAATTGAGTCAGTTTGGGCTGTTTGGTCATGGGTGGTCAATTCACTATTCTATTCTCATAGAAACATACTATATACTTCTCTCACTATAGTAATTACATATGTATATATAATTACTACATATATACATATAAATTTATATAAACATATATGCGTGTATATATAGACAAACACACATGCACATTCATTCATTTGTTCATTTATTCATCCAACCATCCATTCATTTGTTTGTTTTATTATTTATCTGTGGGGTCATGCAATACTTACTCCCTCACCTATAGCAGCATAGGATAGTCTTTCCAGGACTTTCTTCTATACTCACTATATGGTTAAGCCCAACATAGATGCATAATTGAAGATAAAATATTGACCAAAGTCTGTAATATAAAGGAACATTTAAAAATCATAAATCATGCCTTAGTTGTACTATTACTTTTCATTTATCCTTATTATTAAAGTTAATTTATCGTTTGCTTCAGAACAAGGTTGTTATGTAGCCACACTGCAGGCCTTGGTTAATGAAAACTTTCATATTTCACGCACATATTTCACAAGTCTCATTGAACTTCACACATTTCACTTTTTTACAAGTTGAAACCAAACTCTTCCATTATTTCATGTGGTATCAATCTGATCAAGACAGAAAGGCTTAATCATAACAACAGTAACTGGGAATGTGTATAATTAATTAAAATGCTATTTGATTTTTCTTGTTCTGAAGGAGTCTGAGTTAATCTCTAGACATGGTATGGTATACATGTATGTAATTTCCAAATACGGGTCACAATATTAAGACCCATAGGATTACATTGGCCACTAAATCCTTCCTTGTCTGTATCTGATTGTGTTTGTTCTCAAAGCCTATGCCAATGGAACATAAGCTCTGCTACTCCCTGCCAGGCTTGAAAGACTTGCAGACATGTGCCAGTGTTGGACTGTGCAGCATTCAAGGGCCAGTGCAGTAAAATTCAGAGAAGTTCCTCACTAGAAATAAATATATTTGTTTTGTTTTGTTTGCTTTTAGGCAATTGGGGTTAAGTGACTTGCCCAGGGTCACACAGCTAGTGTCAAGTGTTTGGTGTGAGGCCAGATTTGAACTCAGGTCGTCCTGACTCCAGGGCTGGTGCTTTATCCACGGTGCCACCTAGCTGCCCCAATAAATGGATTGTTTTAAAAAATGAAATGAAATTGATTCAGCATGTCTGATAATTGATGAAGTCAAGCTGGCCTGTGAAGATCACAGATACCTCTTTTAAGGAAGGGCTCATAAACCATTCCGTTAATAACATAGCTCGAACTTTGCCTAGAATTGATGTCAACCTCACCTTTCCTCTAGTCTGAAAAATGCTCATTGTTTTCCATTTAAAGAACCAGCCTCCTGTTTACCCATCTCCATTCCTGTGACATCTCATTTGCTCTCCAAGACTTTCGGAAAGATCAATTTCAGCAGTTCACCAATCACATCCGTAAGGTCTTTTTCAGGACCTGGTGGCTGGAACTCATCCGCAGCAGCCTGATGTTCTCTTACCATCTCCTCCTCAGGTTTCAGCTCCTTTCTATACAGCTTTAGTTTATCTTACCAGAATGGAGATGATTCTCCTTAGAACAAAAACAGAAGCAAAAAAGGAGTTTGGTAGTCTCTTGTATTTTATCTTCATCCTATCTACCCCAAGCAGCAACCCTATCCCACCTTTAATCTTCCCTCTTGAACCAAATTAAGCACAAGAAATAACCAATGTGTATTTTGGTTTGTTTGTTGGATTTGGGTTTTTGGTCCTTATCTGTCTTTTGGAAAGACTGCTGGGCCTACATTCAATTCAGGCTTCAGTTTTTTGAATTTCGTATCTTATGTGTCACAGCTGAGACATTCTTAGCCAACATTTTTATACAGAGCAAGGTTCTACTTTATTTGTTCATTTTTGTTAAATTCGTTCTTGGAAGCTTTATCTTAAACCAACTGAATACAAGGCAAAATTCTGACTGCACGTGAGTGTCCATGGAATGGTCCCATTGGATGTGGGACTAGGCTAGGGAGAGCACAGCTTTTGAAAATCTGAGTCCTGGTCTCAACAGATAGTTGTCTGTACTGGAGAAGGTGAGGACATGTGTAGGAGGCCAGAGATAGATGGAACAGAGCAGAAACAATTATTGGGTTCTAACGGTATTTTTTTTAACTAGGCTTAATTCATATAAGCATGAGATAGGGGAACATGGGCACTGAAAGCCAAGAAAGGATCAGACCAATTAGTCAAATGGGTCCAGGAGACAAAGAAATCCAGCAGGTCTGGGATCCATTCCATGGAACATACAGGCAGCTGAGTTATGCTCTGAATGCTCAAGACTTCTGGGAGCTGTCTCATTTTCAAACTTACCGCATCCAAAAAGAGTGGCAGGCCTCCCTTGGTACTGACAATATGTTATATTCTTACTGCTCATGCACTGGTGCTCTTGCTCAGACACTAGTAGAAATTGCTGGATGAGTGAGTAAAGACATTGAAAAGTGAAGTCTTCATTACATATGTCTTTATTAGACAGCGTCAAATAAGCGAAATCATGAAATCCAGAGGATAAAGCATTGAAAGGTAGTCATGGGGGTACCAACACTTTTCCTCAAGGCATTGCATTTTCCTTAAACTTGCGCTCATGTTCCTTTACAATAGCAGTATAAATAAAATCTTGATTTCATGAACTTACTGTTCTTCATTCCTTTCAGCGCCTTAACTAGGGTAAGGCAATCAGGGCTTTGTGCCAGGACATCATTATGGTGGGGTTGCACTTCCTCTCATCTGTGGGCTTGATAGCTCTATACTATGCAGCTTTCCCCTCTTCCTTGCCTTGATGGGATTGCCACCTTTATTGTCCTATCAATGAGGTGTCCCTGTCCTAGACTCCACTTTCCCCACCACCATATACCCCTTCCTTCCTTGGCCTCTTCTCGTCCCTCCCCTAAAGTGATATCCCAGGGTCTCCACCCTCTCCTCTCCTTTCTCACCATGAGTAACTTCCCAAGATCTCTCCCTCGAAGAGAAGCCTAGTATCCCGAGTTCTGAGATTTCTCCTTATTTAGATAACTGCATCCCCACCATTTCAACTAAATTTTCCCCAGGTGCCAAAATTCCTAGTTATAGTCCTAAATGACTGTGGACAATAGCAGTGAACTCTAGTCCTAGCAAATATATTAACATCCAATGCAATACAAACTCTGCCTCTATGCATTTAATTAAATATCTCCATAAAAATTTGAAGTGCTAAAATGAACCACATAGGTTTGGCGTTTTTTGTCGTTCTCATAAATGGTGCAGTTTAAACAGAAAGGGTTCCCTTCTCCCGGTCTCCCAGTCCTGGTTTAGGCAAGTTCCCTGTGCAAGCACATCCTGGGGCACAAGGAAAGAGGCCAATCTCCCAAATTCCTCTAAAGGTTTACTGCAGCCTTCATTGAAATAAATGTACTGGAAACAGCAGAAGTAGAAAATGGTACAAAAGCCATAACGTTTGCATAAAGAAGACATTAAGAAGGTGTGCCAATGGAACCATTGTTTGATGTCCCGTAACAAATGTTTCATTTCGTTTATTTTTTTTTTTAAGATTCCGTTTATCCAGTAGTTTCTGCATTTAAAGAGCACGATGCTGAATGATTCCCCATCCCAGGGATCCAGGTCGTCGCAGAGAAAGCTCATGATTAAAACCATAATAAAAGAGTAAATCCCTATGTAATATTTATCCAGTCTGTATTTCCAAAGTAATACATTTCCCCACCCCTATCCACCCCCAGTTTTGCACAATCACAGCTTACTAAAGCACATATTTTAAACACTGGCTGTAAAAGATAAAACCACCACGGTAAAAGAAACTTGAAAACTGGGTAATATTTATACAGAGCATGAACAGCTCTCAAAGGGCCTGTGAGCTGGGGCCAGAAAGACTATGAAGTGGATGGACCCTGGTATGTAACTTCTAATAGTCTCTCACTGGCAACAGCTGGAATTCCAATACCACCTGCATTGTAGGGCACAAGCCTTCTTCTGCTATAGGAGTAAATTCCACACAAGCCACCCATGCACGCAAGGGGCGAAGGACTTGAAAGGAAACTACTCCTCCTGACCCTGTCATTAAAGAGGTGGGTGATTTGGGGCAATCCTCATTAACTTTTTGGTGCTTGTTCCCTCAACTATAACCTGGAAATAATAATACAGCTGGTATAGTAAAAAAAAAAAACAACAACAAAAAAAACTGGTTTTGGAGTCAGAGGACCTGAGCTTGGATATTATCTCTTATACTTAATTTAGGTATGTGACATAGCATGAGTCACTTAACCTCTTTGGGACTCAGTTTCCTTATCTGGAAAATGAAGGGATTGGAAAAGGTGGCTTTTGAGGTTTCTTCCAGCTATGGATCTATGACCCTATAAATAACCTACATTACAGGATTTGGGGGAAGAATCCAATAAGATGGTATATAGGAGAGCACTTGGAAAAATATGATACATTTTACAATGGTAAATTCTTATGATTTTTTAAAATAAAAATCAGAAGAAAAGCTACCTGACCATGCTAGCTAAACTTTGAAAGATGTGAGGCATCCTTAAAAGGTTGGAGCTAAGAAAGTGAAGGGGCTGAGGGCTGGAGCTGGGGGTTGAAGGTTGAACACCCTGAGAAACTCCCATCTTCATCAGAAATATGAAGGGAGAGTCATCCAAATCATGCCAAGGGAGCAGCTGGAGACAAGCTACCAAGAGAGATGCATCTGGTCCTCCTCCTCCTCCTTGGAGCTTCAGCCTAATCTGTCCCATCTGTGTGGACTAAGTTCTCTTCTGTCATACCACATCCCTAAAAAAAAAAAAAAAAAAAAAGCCTACAGCTGAAAGTCCTCCTCCAGGAATCTTTCCTAATTAGTCACACATTTTCCAAATGGCACAGAATTTCTAACCTACGCTTACCTTCAATTAACTTGAGCCTTTTCCTTCCTTTTCCTGATTGATTGAAAGCCTCTCAAAAGCAGAGATCTTGCCTCTCCTCAGAATGCTTCAGCAATGTTGGATATTAGCCAAACGAGCTAATTCAGGGGTTCCTAACTTGGGGTCTGTGAATTAAATTTTTCTCAATGACTCTATTTCAACATAATTTGTTTCCTCTGTAATCCTACACATTTTATTTTATGCATTTAAATCATTGTTGATAAGGAGTCCTGGCAAAAGGTGGACACCAAAAGGCTTGAAAACTCCTGAGCTAATTTAATTTTATGCAGAATTGATAGATGCAGCATAGACTGAATAAAGCTAGGACATAGTCCCATTTTATCCTTTTACAAGGTCAGGACACATCCTGAGTATTTCTAGGCCCTACTTTTTATCAAGGGCATTAGTAAATAGTAGTTGAGCCAGAGGAAGTGGGCCAGAATTGCACAAGGACTGAAGACATGAGGGGAGGTTGAAGGATTTGAGATTTTCAGCCTAGATAAGAAAAGACTTATTTGGGGGGAGGGGAGCAGTTATCACGTATTTAACATGCTGTTCTGTAAAACAGCTATCTTTATTCTGCCTGGCCCTAGAAAGCTGTGTGAGGAAAAAGGGATAGAAATTTCAGAGAGGTAGATTTTAGCTTCATGTAAATAAGAACTTCCTAACAAGTAGGCTAAGAGAAGAACGAACCAACTCAGGAGCTAGTGTTTCCTTTCAATGGAAGTCACCGTGTAGATGCTTGAGCAGAGCTTCTTAAACTTTTTCCACTCAAGATGCCTTTTCTTTGGCATTGGCATCGCGTGTTGTGAGGGCACCGCAGTGCCAATCAGGCATGCTTTGTGTTCAGAAGTAAGGCATCAGTGAAGCTTGTGATGCAACACAGGCCAGTGCTGCCAGAAACACCTCCCGTGCATAACATGTTTGATTTTTATTTAATTTTTGGTCCTTGCATGTTTACAAACCCTTTACTGTTGCCAAATTTTTTGGGACCCCCATATTCAGTTATGTGACCCCATAAGAGTTCGCCACCCACAGTTTAAGAAGTTCTGTTTGGACACCCATTTTGAGGGATCTTATACAGAGGTAGCTAGATGGTTCAGAGGATAGAGAGCTTTGGACTTGGAGTCAGGAAGAGCTGAGTTAAAATCCAGCCTCAGTCACTTACTAGCTGTGTGACTCTGGGTAAGTCATGTAACCCTGTTTGCCTCAGTTCCCTCAACTGTAAAATGGCTTTAATAACAGCACCTAGTGCCTACCTCCCAGGATGTGATGTTGTGATGACCAAATGGGATATCACATGTAAACGTTAAAGTACTACCTAAATGCTAGCTATTATCCTTCAACAACTTGTTCAGGTAGAGACAGGTTGGAGTAAATGATTATATTGATAACTCTATTACAACCAGTGGTGGCCTGGAGCTGGTTCCCACAAGCTCCTGAGAGCTAGCTGTTAAATTTTCAGTGTGACTGTTTACATCCTGGAAATCAGTGCTACAAATCAGAGCTTGATTCTTTTTTTTTTTTTAATTATTATTATTATCTTTTGCTGATTGTCTAGACTTAAGGAAATGATGAAAAAATGTTAATAATTCAGATTAAACTTGAAAGTTTGTCATACATACATTTTTTTTTCCTGGAGAACTAGTTGTTAAACATTTACCAGCATACCCCTGCTTAACATTCTGAGATTCTGTGATATTTTCCCGGTAAGTGTCTAGGGCAGAACTCTTCATAAGGGACCCTCGGTCAGGACGTGGTAGTGCATCTTTCAGTCACCAGGATCTCTGAGCACAGGTCTGAGAATGACAGGCATCTTTACTACCCAATTTATTTTGATTGTAACAAAATTATCTTCTAAGAAGACTAAGCTGAAACAAACTTAGAAAGAAGAGAAGACTTAGGAGGGCAGCCTGGCCTTCCCTGGAATGGGGCCTAAAGGCTTCTTTGATGAAGTACTCACACCCAGATCCTACAATCCAGAAAACCTGTCATCCAAGGCCTTCCAGGGGCAAGGTACTGCGAGAAGAATGTGAAGACAACATGAACAGATAACCCCTCTCTCAAGGAGATTACCTGTGATTGAGGGGCGTGTCACTGGGCAAAAATGTGCGGCACAAATCCCGATGAGGATAAAGCAGCCCCAGGTCTTTTTTTTTTAATCGCTCATAATTTGGCTGGTCTCTCGACATAGGGAACTTCTAGACTTGATAATACGTGATGCCTCGGATCTCTTAGAGGCTTGGGAAATGCTGGGAAAGGCATGGAAGACTCTGGTATTCTACTCACCATCTTGTGACTTCCCAAACCCAAGACTTCCTTCTGTGGCCACTCTTCCTCTTCATGTGTGTTGTCTCCTCCATTAGAATTCAAGTTCCCTGAGGGCAATGAACACTTTGCTTTTTTTTTTTTGGTGGGGCAGTTGGGGTTAAGTGACTTGCCCAGAGTCACACAGCTAGTGAGTGTTATATATCTGAGGCCAGATTTGAATGCAGGTCCTCCTGACTCCAAGGCCGGTGCTCTTTCCACTGTGCCACCTAGCTACCCCAAGAGAAGAGTCAGGAGTGGGATATTTTGTTTTGTATTGGTATCCCCAGCCCCTTGGCACACTTAATAAATGCTTTTCATTAATTGATTAATTCACTTACCTGTAACATCAAACCTGAGGTGTTTCATTCTTATTGATCCTCATTTCTCAATGTTAACTTTTGTGATAAGGCTTTGATATGTGCCCAGATTGCTTACAATGGAGGCCAGTCAGGGAGCTGATTCTGGGAGAAGACACTTTGCCATTTGCCTACCACTTAATTGAGAACAGCCACCTTCCATAGGCCAAATAGCTGCAACGCTTCATCTTTAAGACTGTTTGATGGAGGCACATTCCAGCGGTGTGCTAGGCTGAAAGACTTTTTCTGGCTCAGTGGCATCATATAGTAATTGGAGAAGGGCCTGAGGGCCTCCCCTCATGCCCTTAGGCCCTGAGGCCCAGAGAAGAAGGGTTTGTTTTTTGTTTTTGTTTGTTCTCATGCCCTTCCCCCCCACCCCAGCATGATCACTTTATTAATTAGGCTAGCAAGAGCCAATAATTTGGGTCAATGACCTTTCTCAAAGACCCTAAATGAGCACTGGCAGGGTGTTTTGTAACTATTAGTAACATGACAGAACAAAATCTCGAGAGCTATTAGCGTGTCTTCTGATTGGTCTGACATTACATTATGACAATCCCAATAGGTAAATATTTTAATGAGGAGGGGGGTTAAGAGTCACCTCTGCTGGGTTTGAGGTTTTGATCATGTTTTGTTCTTTTTTTTTTTTCCAGTTCTAGGTACAAGGAATGGAGGCCTGGACCCCAAGTTTCTAGGTCAAATGTTGCAACCTGCCCAGCAGTGAAGCCCTGAGAAGCCAGGGTCCCCCAGTACAAGCCCAGGTGGGCTTTGAACTTGGCCCTTGGCGTGACTAATGCTATACAAGAACCGAACTAAGCTTTGAACCTGTTCCCCTTCTCCTCTCCGTAGGCTGAGATGGTACAGAGGGATGATTAATGTTCCTAGGTATTGGGGGAAAATGTTTGCACGTTGGTTTTTGCTATACTTTTGAAGCAAATATTTCTTTTTAAAAGCTAATCTGTTAAGTGGTTAAATGGAAGTGGTGGTCTGTGGACCCCTAAATTTGAGGAGATAGCAAAATTGCATGAGGGTATAGGAGAACCCTGGTGGAAGGTTAGAATATAACATAGTTGGACATCGGGAGCCAAAGTAATCACTGAAATATTTTATTTTCCTATTTTGAAATGACATATTACATTGCCTTACTTACTGGTCCAAACCAAGACTTTGGAATGAACAAGATGGACCTTAGATGTAATTGCCTGTGATTTGAGTTTTAAGCTGGAAGGACCCTCAGAAATCAGATAGTCCAACTATATAATTTTACATATGAGGAGAGAGAAGCCCCGAGGGATTAAAGGACTTACCTAGATTAACACAAGGAATAAATGGGAGAGTCAAGATGGAGTTGGAGGTTCTATGCCTCCAAAGAGCAGTGGGAAAATTCAGTCCTTTTTCTGCTATATTTCTTTGTCCTTAGATAGATGCAATCCACCTTGTATAAATCTCTATGTTACTTAAAAAAAACTGCCACATCAAAAGTTATTTACTCGCTTTCCTTTTCTGTTTTCCTTTGTACCTTCATTGCTGATGATCAGAAATTTCTTTTGCTGGAAATGTCTTCCACTGGAGAGAGAAGAGATGTGAGGAGTCAGTAAAAGGAAGAGCTAAGCTGGCACAAATCACCGAATGCCTTTTATAAGCCATGAAAGGGCTGTTTCTCAGGACAGAGAACCCTAGCCTAACGGTTGAAGTTCAATGGACAGGTTATTATTAGCCACATGAGAAATAACTCCTGGGGGTGCACGAGGGAGTGGAAAGGGCACTTGGACAGTGAGTGAGTCAGGAGACCTGGTTTATAGCTTGCGCTTTCCTGCCAATTAACCGAGTGACCTCGGTTAGGCAGTGATCCTTCAGTTTGCTCAAATATGAAATGAGGAATTTGGATGTGGTGAACCTTCCAGCTCTAACCGTGATCCCATGATTCAGGCACTTGAACTTGAAGTAATATGGCCTTTTTTTGGACTAGTCAAGTCTATGAAGCAGTTTGATTTGGGGCTCTTTTGTGGGTCTACTGAGGACTCTGGGTCACAAGCAGCACCCCCTGCAGAAAACTTGTACTGGGATGAAGAAACAAAATCAGTTCCTGTCTTCCCTGGGGGCTTGGGCCACTTCTTTCAGGCCTGTTCTGCTCCGGATCTCTTGTCCTGTACATATGCCACTCTCCTTCCTTCCACTCTTCTGAAGTTTTATACATTTAGCCTTGAGTATTTTTTCTCCTTAACATTTATCACTGAACTTTAATAGATCAACATTAAACAAACAAACACTTCCCCCTCGTCTCCTCCCTCCCCTCTTCCTATTGTGACCAGGATCTATGGTTTCCTCTTGACTCACTTCAGTATTCTCCTCGGAGTCTCACTCATTTCCTGTTGGGAGAACCTTGGCATCCTATCCCTAGTAAAGAAATAGGCCCAGGAGTCAGCCAGCTCCAGTGGCCTGTTTCAGTTCATTGTCTGCAGGCAAAGCGGCAGAGCCTGCTCTGTTTCCCTCCCTCAGACTGAACCTTTCTGTCATGAGAACCGAAGTCCTTTTGGGATAAGGCCATCTGGCCTAGCCAGGGGTGGGTTTCCACCGCGTTCTTCTGTTTCTCCACCACACCCTTCCATGCCCGTATTTTGCAGGAGGGAAGACCGAACATCCCAGACATTCGCTGCTGCTTCTTCGGCTGACTCCGTCTGGTTCTGGGCTCCATATGGCTCAGATACACTTTGTGAAAAGTCCCTGCCTCTAATTCCCCATTTGCTGTTCATTTGCTCAAATTCAGATTATGTCCCGCTGCCATGTTTTCTCCTGCCACGTTTTAAATTGTTTTAATTTAAAGCCGATGCTGCTGCCCTAATTGATCAGACTTCTGCCAAGCACATGCACACATGCACACGCACACGCACACACACACACACACATACATACACATGCACACATACACACACACACACCAACTTCTGCTGCCCTTTAATGCTTCTTTTTAAAGCTGAAAAAAATAAATTCCTTTCACGTGACCTCTTGTCCCCAGAAATCTGAAAGTTTCTTTCTTTTGGCAGCAATCCCAGCAACACCATCCTCTGCCATTTTCTTTGGCCTCTTCTTAGGGTTTTTTGAAAGACACCCAAGGGCTCTTATAATATTGGCTCTTGTAGCAGCTGCAGGATAGGGACTGGAGGGAGCCTGGGCAAGAGAATTTAACTTTACTCTTGCTGGGAGAAGGCCTGAGGTAAAATGGGGAAGTAGGTGGAGTTAATTCTCAATACCCCCTTCCCTCCCTTTCTGGGATCCCTTTCAACACTGGCCTTCCACTGACTCATGCAGCCCAAGTCAACAGAAGAAATGCCCTATCTCCCATGCTTCTCTTCTTCCCTCTTCCCATCAAAACTTATCTGTCCATCTTAGTCCTTCAGGAGCTAGCTAAATGACCTAAGCAAATCCGATGAGAGGAAGGGTCAGTGGATAGAATTTGGCTCTTGGAATCAGTAAGAAGTGAGTTCAAATCTCATTTTAGACACTTCTTAGCTGTGTGATGATGGGTAAATCACTGAACTTTTTTTTCAACCTCAGTTTTCCGCAATTGTAAAATGTGGGACACAATACCTGTAGTACCAACATCATAAGAACGCTGTAAAACTCAAATGAGTTGATGCAAATAAAGCAGAGCTTTGCTATATAAATGTCAGCTATTATTACTATAAATTAATTCACCCTGGTGTGTTAATGGATGCTAATGGCTTAATGGGCCGTCCTTCCCACATGACATTTATGTTTTAACAGGGGCTTCAATGCCTTAACCCAAGGGAGTAGTGAGTTAGATGGGAATATCAGTACCTCTGGCACAGCCAATTAGTGAGATGTTTTTGGTCATGGAGGCCTTTCAATGCCCGTCAAACAAGAACATAATACTAGTAGCTACCAACTCTAAGGTAACCTTAAGGCTGATTCTGACCTTAGTCTAATATGAGCTGTGTGATTCCTTTAGGAAGAAAACAAAGCTATCTCAGGGTTCTTGCATTAAACATTTCAGGAGATCAGATTCCCCTTTGATAAGCCCCCTAACGACTTTCCCTGCCTCTGCTCAGTGGCTCTGGTATCCCTCAATATATCTGCAACACAGCAGCCTAAAGAACCACACTGAATTTGGAGTAAAAAGGGTTGGATTTGAATCTTAAGGTCAGCCATTTCTTATCTGTGTGTCCTTAGGTAAGTCATTCAACCTTTGGAGGCCTCCTGGCTTCTACATCTACAAAAGCAGGAAGATCTCTAATGGCCCCTCCAGGTCTAAGTCATTTCCCTTACTTTCAGTATAAAGAGCTCTGGGCCTGGAGTCAGGAAGACCTGAGTTCAAATTTTACTAGCTGTGTGACCCTGTTTACCTCTGGAGAAGGAAATAGCAAAGCACTCCAGTATCTTTGCCAGGAAAACCCCATATGAGGTCACAAAGAGTCGGACATGACTGAGCAACAAATATTGAACAGAGTGATGAACTTGAAGTTGGGAAGAACTGCATTTAAACTCTGCTTCAGAAATTTCCTAGTGTATGACTCTGGGCAAGTCACTTATCCTCTGCCTCAGTTTGTTCAGCTGTAAAATGGGGTTAATAATAGTATTTACTTCCCAGGATTGTTGTGCGGATAAAATAAGATAATATCTGTAAAGTACTTTGCAAACTTCAAAACATTATATACATGTTAGCTAAAATATTACTAAAATATTTTACTAAATTATTACATTACTAAAATATGAATTTCTCAGTTTTGAATTTTTTAACAAGCATTTATTAAGCATCTATTATGTGCCAGTGTGCTAAATGCTTTACAATTATTATCTTAGTTGATCCTCATACAACCCTGGGAGCAGGTACTTAGATTATCCCCATTTTATTATTGTTGTTCAGTTGTTTCAGTCCTGTCTGACTCATCGTGATCCCATTTGGGGTTTTCTTGGCAAAGACACTGGAGTGGTTTGCCATTTCCTTCTCCAGCTCATTTTACTGATGAGGAAACTGAGGCAAATAGGGTTGAGTGACTTGCCCAGGGGTCACACAGCTATTAAGTATCTGAGACTGGATTTGAACTCAGGTCTTCCTGACTCCAGGCCCAGCTCTCTATCCACTGTACCACCTAGCTGTCTATCCCCATTTTACAGATGAGCAAGCTGAGGCACACAAAGATTAAGTGACTTGCCTAGGGTCGCATAGCTAATAAATTGTTTGAAGCCAGATTTGAACTCAAGTCTTCCTGACTCCAGGCCCAATGCCCTATGCACTGTACCACTTAGCATCCTTAAAAGTATTTCATTATCTGGCTCTAACCTCCCTTTCTTATTTCATATTACTTCCCCTCTTGCATTCCCTATTTTAACCAAACTGGACAAGTCTCCATGCCTTCTTGTCGGCCCAATTCTTGAGCAGAAACGTGGTCCGGCCTCATCTCTGCATCTCAGAACCCTTCTTTTCCTGCTCAGCGTCCACCTCCTCCATAAAGCCCTCTTTAATCCCTGAAACTGATAGAGAACCCTCCCTTCCCATATATTCCTGGGTAACTTCATCAGGATGTCTCCTCTTCTCCTGAGCAAGTCACTTAACCTGTCCTGGCCTCAGTTTCCTCATCTGGCAAATGAAGGGATTGAATTCAATGGCCTCTAAGATACTTTCTTCTCTAAAATTGTGATCCTGTGATCCTCCGTTCATCCCTTTACCTTGTATTATACTTATCTGTCTGTATAGTTTCTTGTACCTAGAGAATGTCAGCTCCTGTAATGGACTTTAGAAAGTTTCATTACATTCTGAGGAATGAGTGGACAGATGAGTAAATAAAGCTTTTATTGAGGGTGTGCTATGTGCCAAACCTTCTGCTAAGGCTGAGGATACAAGTAGAGAAGGAAGATGGTCTTCTCTCAGAGAACTCATGTTCTAATGGAGGAGATTAAAAAAAAGATTTCTGTCTTAAATCAAATGTAAGGCTCCACAGTCTTTAGGGCACAGCCGCAAATCAGGTGTTAATGCTTTTTCTATGATGTCATTTTCACCAATAAAATGTCAAAAGTCTCTGAAATGGAACCATTTGACGGTACCAAGGACTCTGGTCATAAGAACATTTTTTTCTGAGTCTTCACTAATTGTGGCTGTAGCACGGGCAGGAGCAGTTGCCAGGCTACATCTCCATAGGTGATATTTCCCAGGATGATGGGAAGGGCTTCAGGCTGGAAGCATGGCTATTCCGAAGACTCTTGGGTTTAGGGTCCACGGAGAGAAGGCAGTCAAGGTGATGATGATGATTTGACTTGCCTAGCATACACTTCTTCCTGTTTCACCCTCAGGTTGTTTCTGCTAAGACCTAGAATGCAACACAATGCCTTTGCACATGAGGGCTAATTAAAAAGAAAAAAGTTTGTTGAAATAAAGCAACACCAGTACCTCCTGACGTGGATGGTAACTGATAATTCTAATTCACTTGACTCAAAATTCAAATAAGAACCTTGGTACAGATCAATATTACAGTAGGGAGAGGGCAAAAAAGAAAAATTGGCCATTAGTCAGTGATACCAGTTGCTGTTTTTTCTCAAAGCAGGAGGAA